TTGTTCCAGGTCCCCTGCCAGCATCCTCTCTCCACCTCAGTTTGTCTCTGCTGCAGACGGACAGCAGCCCAGTCGGAAGCAGACCAAATTGACTGTGTCTGCCCTTGGTTTTGTTTTTACTCAATAAATGAATGGACTCTAAGGCAGTGTGGTGTCCTTTCTCGCTTGATCAAGCTTTGCCCGGGAGCACTCTTCTTCCATTTCTCGGTTTAGTTAACATCCGTAGTCTTTCAAGATTAAGCCCCAGCACCCCTCCTTTAGACGGGCTTCTCTGATGCCCGCCGGGCCCAGGATGCCGCTCTGCCGTGCCCCGTACCCAGGGCGCTCCTCTCTGGCACACCTCACGCGGGACACTAACCACTCGTCTCCTGAGAGGCATGAAGCCCCCTAAGAGCTGACCCTCGGTCTTCTTCAGCTTTGACTGTTCAGTGCGGAGCAGGGAGATTGTCCACAAATGTTTGGTGAATTACCCATGAAGGAATGCTCCATCACTGTTCAATAGAATTGGGATACAAGCCACGGACGTAATTTCAACTTTCTAGTCGTCACATTGGGGAAAAAAGGCAGGTAAAATTAATTTTGATAATACGTTTTTAGTGCTCTATATCCAAAGTAGTATCATTTCGGCATGTGCCACTAGCTGCTGTACAGGACAACATCGCCTTAACCTGCAGCAAAGGCATCTTGGATTTCTGCCTCCCCTCCAGGCACCACGTTCTTCTTCCTTGTTCTCACGCATCCACCAAGTCTCCTCACTGCCTTGCCCTCGGGCCTCCAGCTCTGCCCTCCTCCGGGAGGACTGCGGTTTGGCAGGCTCCTGTTGATTTCTCCAGCCAAACCCAAGGACCTACTCTTGGTCCTTCTCCATCTCACACACTCAGGCATTTCCATGGCTGCTCACCTAGGGCTTGGTTTGCATGACCCTGAACTTCCTTGGGCGCGCTCTGCTTCTCCTGGCTGCTGGGTCTCTAGTTGTCGCCCTGCTGAAGTCAGGGACGACTCTCATCAGGTGCCGCCTGCCTTTGACCGCGTATAAAACATAACTGAAGCTTCAGGAAATCAAAGCAACAGGCCTTTGGAAAGGATTTTCTTCTCCACCTTTATTCTCTGTTGACAGCAAGGCTGAGCATTATTTAAGTTTGACCTGCACGACGCTGCCCTTTGCTGCTGGATTTTTCCCCAGACGTCTGAGCTGTTCCGAGTTTCCCCACATTGAAGGGGTTCAGGAATGTGGTCACGTGGCCTAAAGGGGGAGAGGAAAGAGTATTTTCAGACCCAGAGTTTTTAAAGGCTATTTGCAAAAATTAAACGTTCTCTTCCCTTGTGGACACACATCTAATTTGGGAGGATAAATTAGAGTCCTAATAATCTTTTGCTTTAGGAATAATGATTAGGATCTATTCCTTTTTCCCCATTGCCCTTTGGCCTTCACCCCACCTGCACCCCAAATCACCGCAGGGATGAGATATGTGGGCTCAAACCAAATCAAGCTCTTTTCCTCCCACCTCTAGGCTGTGCTCACTGTGTTACAGCACCGCCTGACCCTCAGCCCAGGCCCTGAGCAGGAGCCTCCAGGGCACCCTTCTCAGACTCCAGGATTTCCTGGAAAAGCAAAATGAAGTGGACTACAGCGTCTTGTAAACCTCCAATTCTTTGCCTAGGCCAAGGCTGCTGGAGGCTGAGAAGGCTATAAGCTATAAAGAATGTGTGAGCCCTAACCGCTTTGGCTCAGTGGGTAGAACGTCAGCCCTTGGACTGAAGGGTCCTGGTTTCAATTCTGGTCAAGGGCATGCACCTCAGCTGCAGGCTCGATCCCTGGCCCTGGTCAGTGTGCATGTGGAGGTAACCAATCAATGTGTCTCACTCACATCGATGTTTCTCTGTCTCCTCCTTTCCGCTCTCTCAAAATCAATGGGAAAATGTCCTCAGGTGAGAATTAACAACAAAACACGAAATGAAACAAAAGCACACTGGCCTTGGAGTCAGACCGAACCCGCTTTCCTGCTGTACCTCAGGCCCAATGCCTGAGTCTCAGGTTCCTACCTGTAAATGGGGACACGAACACCTACCTCACAGGATCATAGAAGGACTTTGTCCAGCCTCTGGACGTGTGATGCTTACATTTTATTACATGTTAATGTGCATGAGACTCCTCTGCAGACTGTGATGGTGCAGATTCGGATTCAGCAGCAGGTCTGCGTGAGGCCTGAGGTTCTGCGTTTGCATCGGCTCCCAAGTGATGCCATGTTTCTGGTCTGTGCATCACATGTTGGAGGCAAGTTTTCTAGAACACCGGCTTTGCCACAACTCAGGGGCAGTTAGGCTACAATCTTCCAATTCAGTTGACCAGTAGGGAATATATACCACAATCTATTTTTTTAAAAATATATTTTATTGATTTTTTACAGAGAGGAAGGGAGAGGGATAGAAAGTTAGAAACATTGATCAGCTGCCTCCTGCACACTCCCCACTGGGGATGTGCCCGCAACCAAGGTACATGCCCTTGACCGGAATGGAACCTGGGACCCTTGAGTCCGCAGGCTGACGCTCTATCCACTGAGCCAAACTGGCCAGGGCCACAATCTATTTTTTAATTCAAGTATAATTATGTACAATAAAATTCATAAGTTTTTTTTTGAGTTTTGATTATTGTGTCTACCTCAATCAAGATATAGAACATTTCTGCCCTGGCCAGTGTGGCTCAGTTGGTTGGGTATTGTCCTCTTGCACCAAGAGGTTGTTGGTTCCATTCTTGGTCGGGTTTGGGGCTTGATCCCCAGGAGAGGGGTGTGCAGGAGGCAGTCGATCGATCTTTCCTTCTCACATTGATGTTTCTCTCCCTTCGTCTCTCTAAAAATCAATTTTAAAATCTCTTTTAAAAGATATAGAACATTTCTATCATCTCATAATAACCTTTTTTTATGTCCCTTCCCAGCCAATATCCTCCCAACCTTGACCCCACTCCAGGGTAACGCACCGCAGGGTAAAAACAAGGTCTCCCAGCTGGCCCTTCCCCGGCCTCTAGTAGCTCCTCTCCTGCCTTCATCAGGGTTGCAGCATGGAAGGTGCTGGTATACAGGAGGCATTGGAATAACTGGAAAGCTCTGTGGTGGGCCTTGCAGGTTGCCTTCCAAACATCACTTCTTCTTCAGACTCAAGTATAACACCCTCCCAGCCCCAATCAGCCTTATAAAAGTTTAAACAATGTCATGAAGATAGAACGTTTTTAATTCGTGAGGTTATCAGTTCCCCAGGGCACTGTTTTCTTATAGAATAATTGTGTGGCCCTAACCGGTGTAGCTCAGTGGATAGAGCGTCGGCCTGCAGACTGAGGGTCCCAGGTTCGATTCCAGTCAAGGGCACGTACTTTGGTTGCAGGAACATCTCTGGGAGGAAGTGTGAGGGAGGCAGCTGATTGGTGTTTCTCATGTTTCTAACTCGATCCCTCTCCCTTCCTCTCTGTAAAAAATCAATAAAATACATTTAAAAAAACAACAACAAAAAAAACAACAAAGAATAATTGTGTGTTAGCCGAGAGTATTTTATGTGGAAATTATTGAAAGGACAGCGCTTCATCCCTTTGGAGCATAAAAAGCATATGTACAAGATGCACTTGCTACATAGTAAGATTATCTCTGTATGAGCAGACATGCACTAGCTTGCGTCTCCCTGGCCCCAGGCCTGTGATGATTTTGTGCCATCAGACCAATTATAGCACCATTTAATGGGTTTAGTTGTCATGGTACCTGTTAGAGCAAATCTTGTTAATTGTGGTTTCTCTTTAAAAACAAAAATAACAACATAGATTTCTTACTAATTATTTTTTGTATATATTTTAAGGAAAGATATACCAGGAAACAGTTATAAATGCATATTTAATATCAGGGTATAAATGTATATTTAACCATGACTGCTTATCTTAAAACAAATTCAAATTGGAACCTGGCCAGTGTGGCTCAGTGGTTGTGTGTTGACTTATGAACCAGAAGGTTACAGTTCGATTCCCAGTCAGGGCACATGCCTGGGTTGCAGGCTTGATTCCCTAGAGGGGGGAGGGGGCATGCAGGAGACAACTTACCAATTGGAGTGGGGAGGGGGCATGCAGGAGACAACTTACCAATGCTTCTCTCTTATCATTAATGCTTCCATCTCTCCCTCTCCCTTCCTCTCTGAAATCAATAAAAATATATTTAAAAAAATTGTAATTGGGTGCTCACTTCGGCAGCACATATACTAAAATTGTAATTGGCTGCTGGGTTAAAACTCTGGTGGTGGTGATTTAACCCCCACTGCCAGCTCTAACGATTTACATACTGTGTTTGCCCAGGAAGGGCCTGGACTGGACTCACGCAATGGCTCTGATTATTGTCTTGCTTTCCAGGTTGTCCCTTCACTTTCTTTTTCCTGCTTTTGGCTCCTTCTTCAGTCTAAATGAGTGAGGGGACAGGGTGAAAGTCAGTTTTAGCCTGACTATCATAATAGTCTTGCTTTATAAGTGCACGCCTCCAAAAGAAACTTTCTCATTCCTTATAAATTTGTTTATAAGGTGAGGGAGGTGAGCTGAATTATGGTTGAATTTTAAAACATGCAAACTCACTGCTTTCTGGTCATGGCAGTATCCTAAAATTCCACAAGATGGCATGCCTTCCCCTATGAAAACAGAACTTTGGGCCTGAAATTCGATTGGTTTTTATTTTTTTCATTGAAACAAGACCTTTTCTTCCTCCTTCTTTCCTTACCTATACTTGTACTTTGAAAGAAAAAAAAAAATCATCTTTTCCTTTTTTGAAAATAAAAAAGTCAGAGTAAATATAAACTTGCTTTGAGTAATTTCTACTCATTTTTCTTAGCTTTTCTTCTAAAGCAATATGGACGTTTTCTTTCTGATTTGTAATCTTTCAGATATCTGACCGTATCTCTCTCTTTGCTCTTCTCCTCCTAGGACCACTCAATTATTTCATCTTCTCAA